ATACAAGTTTCTGAGGATAAACGCTAAGGTTACACTTCGCTGAAGCACTAAGACCGCAGCCCATAAATATTAATGACAAACAACTACGCAACGCCCTGCATGGTCTCAGACAGGTCACCGGCCTCCGATACGATTGTTTGATGCTCATTTCTTAGCCGTAATTAGGAATGCCTAGTGTACTCGGGAGATGGAATGCTTAATATGAATAATGCATGACACAATAAAATGTGAAGTTTCTGTGCCAACTCCGTAATTGGGGATATGGAGATATGTAAAATATGTAAATAATAAGAGCAGATTACGCATTGAGGAGGTAGATAACTTTGTACAATATTCGAGCTATAATTGGAGAATCTCACAATGAACAAAGTGTTTGTACGGCCTACAAATATCGTTGTAGTGTCTTAGTGCAATTTATTTACGTAAGCCGCCTTAACGATATAGGTGAAAATCCTTCTATGGGAGTAACCTTTTTCTTTAAATTAGAAATAAGAAAAAAGATTTTCAAATATGTGTCCGGACTACTCTGTTTGTCACATGTATTAAATTAAAACACTTACTGGCACAAAACAAAGAGAAAACAAAAAAAAAACATAAGCCTTTAAACTGTAAGTGTAGTTTATTTAGTAGACTAATATTTAGTTGAAAAAACATAAATAAAGTTAACATTGCACTGTACAGATGTGAATTCAAATCAGTTTAATGCCATCTTTGGCAAAACCGAATGTATTCGTAAATGGTTTGAAGTTTTGCAAAAATATTGGGCTACGACTGGAGTCAAACCCATGACAAAGTATGCAGTCCTGCTAATCGATATGCACAAATATATTAAAATTAATTTGAAGCTACAACGTAATTTACTTCCTTTATTGTCTGTGAGAAACTCTCTCATTCAATATACAGGACACTGACCCATGCAGACTTGTTTCCGATCCGCGTTCCCCGTCGATATCAATATAGTTAATAAAGTCAGACTGCCTGTCTATGATTATGTAGTTGACTGATGTTATAAATTGAACCGAACACTGTTTGATATTTCGATTTGAACCCTTGCTACACTGTGCAATGCCCTTGTAAATTTCACGCATTGTCACCAATGATAGTATAGGTACTTATTTTCAAAATATTCCTGTTTTTATTTTGCGACAATGAAAGGAATTTTCTTTCAAAACACTTAAACAATTACGCGTTTTCCGTCGGCTGCTTGATTCTTCTAAAACTCATTGTTCGGTTAATAAAGCAACGAAAAGAATTTGCAATTCAAAAGATCTTTATTAAGCGGGCTTGTCACACTTTTGCTCTCATCTGATATTTCCCTCGGAACGTCTATATTTTCGCCGTCATTAACTATGATGACTTCCTGAACGCTGTTTCTAGTTTCGTAAATTTGATTTAATTTCACCGCTTTGAAGTATTTATTGAGAACTTCTTACTTTCATCATCTTAATATAGTCTATTAAAATATTGAATTACTAATGCAATCAAGATTATAATACGAAATAGTATGTACATAAAGTATAAGTTAAAAAGAATGTGTGGTTAATTATAAAGTATACGTGTAACACTGCGTCGTTGGTCTAGTGGTTGTAGTAGCGCGACTGCTGATCATGAGGTTCTGGGTTCGAATCCCAGGTCGGGCCAAAAAATTAATTACTGAGTTTTTCCGTAAAGAAATTTTCAGTAGTTGCCCGGAGTCAGGAAGTTGGCGGTGTCTCACCCCCGTGCCTCGGAAAGCACGTAAAGCCGTTGGTCCTGCGCCTGATCTCTCTCCGGTAGTGTCGGTTTACCGTCCCATCGGATTATGAGAGTGAGGGAATAGAGAGTGCACCTGTGCTTTCGCATACACTTGGGCACTATAATCTATAATCCTGTCCAGCGCCCAGGCTGCCGTGGCCGAAATTCGGTCTGGAGGACATTATTATTATATGTGCAACAATAATATCTACAAATATACATCTGTTATTAACCTAATAAATCTATTATGTTTTTCTATACTTCACGTATTTATAATAGGTACTCTACTTATTGCTTACGAACAATTTTCATTATTCTACTCGATTATGCACGGCCTCAACGTTATAATAGTAAAATACAGTAACTAAAGTTTTAACCAATATTTAACTGCTCTTTTTTTGCTACTCAATATGTCTATTAATTTTTTTTTTCTTTCACTAGAATATAAGTGTATCTTGTTTTATTGTTCAATTACGAGGAAAATCCACTATCGTAGTTTACTTCGTACACGAAGATTTACAGAAGACCTGGTGACCTAAGATAAAGATTTTACCTTATTTAGGCAGCAGTTTTTCACCTATCAAAAGTGCTGTATCAAATGTAAGCATGTTATATCGATTGTTGCTTACTTTATAATGTATATTGTTGGTGGAAATAAATCAATAAATATTTTTTTTATGTAGAGAGGGCAAACGAGCATACGGCTCACCTGATGGTAAGTGATTACCACCGCCCATGAACAACTGCAACACCAGGGAAATTGCAAATGAGTTGCCGGCCTTTTAAAAAGGAGTAGGCTCTTTTCTTGAAGGTTCCTAAGTCGTATCAGTCCGGAAAAAATATTCATTCATTAGATTGTCACTCATGATTGAGACCTATTTGCCTTAAATGTTACTCAGTGTTAAAATATTCACTTATTTTACAAGATATGGTGATATAGAGGTGATTTAAAATATTGATTTTATCTTAAGAGACTTTCCATATTAGGTAGTATTATTTGCTGCACTGTCACGTGCGGCAGATGGATTCGTTAACACGGTACGAAACGTCAAACAGCTATGATACAATTTTTATCCTTATCACATGTCATAATCAGTCTAGCCATTATACATCATACTTATAATATAGGAGATGGTTATACCATTCATTTCTAACCTCAAAATCGACCAGACATTTCCAATAGTCGATGTTTATAACTCCTACAGGATGAAATAGTGCATCGGATTTTCTTTTATCCCTATCACATTTCATATTTTACATTTCCAATGTTGGGTAAGGCCACCTATTGTTGACACTCCACCAATTTATTGGCATGCTGCAGTTATTTTTCAATAATAAAGTTACCAGTTTCCGAATACAGTACTTATTCCGGCCAATAAATAGTAGGTTTAATCTTCTATACTACTGGCAACACAGAAACTGTTCCTTTTTAAAGATGGCGTCGCAATAAAAACGATTTTTTCGTGTTCGGACCTGCGTAAAGAAAACATCAAAATTCCAGTGTTTTTGCTAAGGTAAGAGTAATATTCGTAAATCTTTTGAGTTTTGGTTACAGATACTGTTTAATTCGATTATTTAGTTGTTTAGCTTTCATTTCCAACATTGATTTTGAACGTTTAGGCCCATTTACAATACTTTTTTGCGGTGCCAACATTTGGTAAACATAATATGAATCAAACCTTTTTATTGGCACATGTGTCAATATTAGGTAATTTATGATAAATTTACTTTTAAGACAAAATATACTTTATGTCCATCATTTTTCGATTCAGATTTTAAAAAAATGCACAACTTAAGTTAAGAACATATTTTTCCAAATTTTGGCCCACTGCCAATTGTAATAGAAACCATTTATTAGCAGCAGTGTCAATAATTAGTATTTGGGGTGCCAGAAATAATTTTTAAAAATAATTTTCAGTTATCTTCAAAATGAAGCCTCGTACAAAAAACATTAATAAAATAAAGACTGATAAGGTAAAGCGGAAGGTTTATTCAGAAGAAAATTTGCAAAAAGCCCTTGTAGAAATAGCTAAGGGCATGAGTAAAAAACTTGCTGCTAAGACCTTCCAGGTGCCGCGTTCGACCATACAATTCCGATTAAAAAAGCCAGAACATGGCTCAAAAGCAGGCCCTCCCACAATTTTAAATAACGAAGCAGAAGAGGCTTTAGTCAATTGGATCAAACTCAGTAGCCAAAAAGGCTTCACAAAGCGAAAAGAAGATTTGATAAAGAGTGTTTCGGAGTTTCTAAAAAAATCTAATCGGGCGTCTTCTTTTAAAAATGGTGAGAAATGGTTTAATTACAGCTGTCAGCTCAACAGTGTCAGAAAATGATGTTAGAGGATGGTTTAGGCAAATCAAAGACTACTTTGATGAAAACAATTTATTTCACATACTTTCTGACCCAAGACGAGTATTTAATGGAGATGAAACAAATTTTGTTTTGTGCCCTAAAACAGGTCTCGTTTTGAGTTCGAAAGGAGAAAGAAACGTGTATGAAGTTGATCACGCCCAGGCCAAAACTTCTTCTTGACTTGACTTGAATTCCAGCCTCCCGAACAAGCCGTTTCCGAAAAGGCTTCAGTACCATAGACCACATACATACCCTGTGGCAGATTGTACAGAAGACCGAAGAGTACAATCTGCCATTTTGCCTGGCGTATGTGGACTATGAGAAAGCCTTTGATTCCGTCGAAATTTGGGCGGTGCTACAGTCCAATTAGCGGTGCCAAGTTGACTGTCAGTATATCGAAGTGCTGAAGTGTTTGTACAGTAGGGCTACGATGGCTATCCGAGTACAGAATCAGAGCTCGAAACCTATCCAACTGCAGAGAGGTGTAAGACAGGGTGACGTTATATCCCCGAAACTCTTCACCACTGCATTGGAAGACGTTTTCAAGCTACTGGACTGGAAAGGAAGGAAGGAAGGTATTAACATCAATGGCGAGTACATCACTCACCTTCGATTTGCCGACGATATAGTCCTTATGGCAGAATCGCTGGAGGACCTTAGCACTATGTTCAATGACCTCAATGGTGTCTCCCAACGGATAGGTCTTAAGATGAACATGGACAAAACAAAAATCATGTTTAATGTCCATGTCTCACCTATGCCGGTAGTTGTTGGGAGCACTATGATCGAAGTTGTTGACGAGTACGTTTACCTGGGACAAATAGTCCGACTAGGTAAGTCCAACTTCGACCGAGAGGTCAATCAGAAGGGATCAAGAAAAGAAAAGAAGAAAGGGAACGAAAGAAAATAGAAAATGAGAAACGACCGGCGCCAAAGAAACAAAAAAAAGGCTAATGAAGAAATATCAAAGATATTATTTTCTGAGAAATTTTATAAATTTGATAGTGAAGATACCATTGTTGAAAATAAAGAAAATGATCAGGAGTTAATTGATATCTTAGTCAGACAGCATGGAGGAGGGAGTATTGGTAATAGAACATACATCACTGCTGAAATAGAAAAAATTTTGACTGAATTAGATAATTGATACAAAGATACAACAATCTCAAAATGTTGACTGAATTAGATGATTATTACGAGTATGAACGATCTCAGTTAATTACTTTTTATAATTTTATTATTATTTTGTTAACGATTACTTAATTTTTATAATATTTTGTAAGAAACTTAAAAGAAGTTCCTATTTTCTTTGATAAAAATAAATATCAGTTTTTAATACTCTTCTAGTATTTTATTTCTGTAACCTGTGCCTAAATTAAAAAATCCATTAGAAGGAAATCAGTTAATATCACATAAATCAACCTGGGTATGTTATGCTCATATTGTAATACGTATAGGTGAGCCAATAATAGGTTATGTTCTCTGCCAATAAAGGGATTTTATATGCTAATGATTGGTCTTTCCACTCAACATCATTTAATTTTAAAAAAATTAAATCAAACTGCGTAATCTAAAATAATGTGTACTGAAAAACGTTCTTTAATAATAATAATAATAATAATAAAAATGACTCGACACGTCAGCCAAATAATAATAAACAAGTACTTGCCAGAAGCCGTGCTCGAAAATGACCGCGCCAGGCTCTACTGGGACCGGGCCATCATCACAGACAGGACTATTCTAGCGAATAAGCCTGATATTGTGCTGATGGACCGGGCACAGTCAAGGATATTTTTGGTCGACATTACCATTCCGTATGACGAGAACCTCGTGAAAGCCGAAACAGATAAACAAACAAAATATCTGGACCTGGCTCACGAGGTGACCGACATGTGGGGTGGTCTGCCGGCCGAAATTATTCCTGTAGTCGTCTCTGCAAGCATGCTAATCCCAGTCAGCCTCTCGGGTCATCTGAGGCGGCTGGGACTCCGTGACGGACCGCTCCGGGCTCAAATGCAGAAGGCGGTGCTCCTCGATACCGCCCGCATCGTCCGCCGGTTTCTTTCCCTTTCCCCCTAACCTTCGGCCGTTTGGTCTCCCCTGCCGAGGGCTTCCATCTGGTTGGGCTTTTACTTATTTATGTACTTTTGTATTTATTTTATTTTATTGATAATTATGTATATTTATCTTTCATTTTCATTTATAATTATATATTTATAGATCCCAACCAGATGAGAAAACTATATAGATATTCCACAATAATAATAAAATATTTATTCATTGGCCAAAAGTAATAAAATATTTGAAAGTTAAACTAATACAAAAATAATATTTTTAGAAGGACAATGAAAGGGTTCTGACTCAGCATGTGTTGCAGAGAATCTACAACGCTGTTATTCTGTCAGCACCCATATACCTACTTAGTGAGCTAAAGTATAACAGTACGCGTACATCACCGATTATATAACAAATAGCTTTTACTGTTAAATTATTTATTTATTCATTCAGCCAGTACAAGAACTTTTCTTCACAGGGAGGACGACTCACTGGCCCACACCGCAAAGGAGAAAGCCGATCTTCTAGGCTCTTTCTTTGCGTCTAACTCGACTCTCGATGACGGGGGGAGTACGCCGCCGACCATCCCGCGGTGTGAGTGCTCCATCCCCCTCCCTGGACATCCATCATGCCTGACGGAATCCCCCCAATTGCGCTGAGGACGTGTGCTCCAGAGTTGGCACCGGTTTTAACGCGTCTTTTCCGGTACTCCTACTCCCTAGGCGTAGTCCCAAAATCATGGAAGACGGCTTTCGTCCACCCGATCCCTAAAAAAGGCGACCGCTCAGACCCGTCCAACTACCGGCCTATCGCCATCACCTCCTTGTTCTCCAAAACAATGGAGTCCATTGTAAACTGCCAGCTCGTGAGGTACCTTGAGGATCACCAGCTGATTAGTGACCGCCAATACGGTTTTCGCCGTGGTAGGTCAGCTGGTGATCTTCTGGTCTACCTAACTCACAGATGGGCGGAGGCGAGTCCAAGGCGGCAGGCATTGGCCGTTAGTTTGGACATTGCGAAGGCCTTCGATCGGGTTTGGCACAAACCGCTTCTTTCGAAGCTCCCTTCCTATGGGCTTCCCGAGAAATTGTGCGATTGGATCACCAGTTTTCTTGCAGATCGGAGCATCAAGGTCGTTGTAGACGGTGCAAGCTCCGATTGCAAGCCTATTAATGCTGGTGTTTCACAGGGCTGCGTGCTATCGCCAACGCTGTTTCTTCTGCATATCAATGATATGTTGCAAACCCGAAGCATTCATTGCTATGCAGATGACAGCACTGGTGATGCTTTTTACACCGGCCGAGCCAATATTTCTCGGGAAAACGTCTCTGAGTGCCGGGACAAACTTGTGTCTGAAGTCGAGTCTCTGCTGGACAGAGGAGCAGTAGTCCCCCAGAGACACCGGTAAAAAGGCAAATGGCCTCAAAAAGCTTGGCGTCTCACAGAGGGGGACAGTATTTCATGCCGGCACACCGCCTGCAACTTTACAAGGCGCAGGTTCGGCCGCGCATGGAATACTGTTCCCATCTCTGGGCTGGGGCTCCCCAGTACCAGCTCCTTCCACTTGACCGCATCCAGCGCAGAGCGGCTCGAATCGTCGACGACCGAGTGCTTTCCGATCGGCTCGATTCACTGGCGCTGCGAAGAGATGTTGCATCTCTTTGCGTATTTTATCGCATCTATCACGGGGAGTGCTCTGAGGAATTGTTCGGATTAATCCCAGCCGCCAAATTTCGTGAACGCACTACACGGCAAACGTCCCGATACCATCCACACCATCTGGATGCTTGGCGGTCCACGACTGTACGTTTCAAAATGAGTTTTCTTCCGCGTACAACTTCTCTGTGGAATAATTTACCTCCGGCGATTTTTCCGGACCGATACGACCTGGGGACCTTCAAGAAAAGAGCTTACTCCTTTCTAAAGGGCCGGCAACGCACCTGCAATTCCCCTGGTGTTGCGGTTGATCATGGGCGGCGGTAGTCACTTAACATCAGGTGAGCCGCATGCTCGTTTGCCCCCTCTTCTATAAAAAAAAAAGAACTATATAATTAACCAGTACAAGTTATCATAATATTTCTATTAATAATTTGATAATTAATATACATGTACAAGAGATAAAACATAATATAAACAAAATATAAACGTAATATAAACAAAAACATGAAAAAAAATAGTATTAAAAGTAAGAGCTACAGTAGTGTTTTATTTATTCAGACTAATTATAATAATTATGCTAGAACAACGTAATGGTTATTAAAAATAATATTGGTAGTAAATGTAAGTTACATAATTGCATATATTCAGCCCCTGCCGAATTTTTTTTTTATATTTATGACATTTTCTGTGTACTTAATAAATACTCTTTGTATTTTCTCTTAAAACTGTTCTTATTTGTTATGACTCGTAATTGTGGCGGAAGATCATTCCAACATTTTGTGGCCATAAATTTGTAACTACCACGAAATGCTGATGTCCTATGTTGAGGTATGCAAAGTACTTTTGCACACTTTCGGATACCGTACATATGTTGATTTTGTATCCACTGAAGCTTTTCATATAGGTATTCTGGTTTCTTTGTGTTTTTATCACTCCAAATAGCAGGGAGGGCATAAAATAATTTGAGACGTTCCTGCATTTTAAGCATATTAGAGGCATTAAGGTAAGGTGTAACATGTGTTCGTCTTGGGATGTAAAAACAGTAACGAGCGCAAGCATGTTGTACCCTTTGATTTAAATTTTTTGATTTTTTAAATAGACAAGGTCCATACAAAGTTATACAACAATTTAGTTTAGACAGAACTAAGGTTTCACATAATTTAACACGTAAGTCTACAGTGATAAACTGCCTGATTGAATATAAAACTTTCAATCGGAAAAAACAACTTTTTACGACATTAATTACATGATTTAATGATATTAGAAGAGTTTAAATCCCTCTTCTTTGTTTAAATTTATATTATATGAGCAAAATTAAAAGTGTTTGTGGGATAGCCACTTAAAGTGCAATAAATGGGTGTTTTACCCTTGTTGGCATTTAACAAAAAAAAATTTAATTGATGATATTAGGAGATCCCTCCACAAAGTTGATAAAGGAAATTTTATCGTGACTGAAACGCTTATATATGCGTGAAAAGCAAAAACATATAAATTTTTAGACATGAAATTAACGTAGGTATGTATGTGTATCAATACCTATAGTATATTATTATATACAACAAGTATCATCACATAACCAAAACATTTCATCAATTTCATCAACGCATGAGACTTTATCAAAAAGTCTGTTCCTTGCGTAATAGAATTCCACCGAGATAAAAAGTAATATTTAATTATAAATGTGTCAATTATCAGTCGTTATAATTTAGTTTTTTTTTTAAATATTAATTTATGTGTGAAATATCTTTCCACATCAAAAAGCGGTGTGTAACATATTCAGGAAGCGTTGACATCAATACGTGAAAGGAAAACTTTTGTACCCTTTTTTAAGATTACATATTAAATATATGCGAACACGAAGGACTGTGAAATTTGGCTAAGTTAAAGTTTATATGAAGCAGTGCAGAAAGATATAATTTACGTAAGCTATATAAAACATATAAAATGTCGCGTGGGCAAATTATGTCGTTTGTTGTCATACATACTGCCAATGTCTCAAATACCAAAAAGTATATGGTCACCATCGAGTTATAATGTACTACGAAGTACATTATAACTCAATGATGGTCACGTTTTAGGCAAAATAGTGTATATTTTGTACATTAGATATCTAATAGATATAAGATAGATAGAAAGTGAAATACAGCTAGCTTAATATTTTATGAACTACGGTCGAATTTCGACTACTAGGCATCCAGTATTTAGGATAAAAACATATTCCCCCAACTAAAATAAAAAATCATGTAAATCACGAAATCAGGCTTAAACAAATGCAATAATTAAAGAATAATAGCGCTCAATTGTATACTCTCCTTCACGGTACACAAAATATAAAATGACATGCAGTTCACTAGTTCCCTAAGAGAGGGTACTTGTGATGTGAAAGCCATTACCTCTTTTAGCACCCATAGTGGTAAAGCCACGCTGCAGCAC